ATCTATCTAGGCAGAATACAATCCCTATGTATCTAAAGATCCTAATAAATCTGAATATATGTGTAACAAACATGAATAATTATTTACCTATAACATTTAATATCTGTATAACTTAAAGACTAAGACTTTATATCAGAATATTACAAAACCTGTAAACAAATGTGCCGCAAATGAGGACAATGACCTCAAAATGTAAACAATGTGTAAGTATCTTGATCAAAGGTAAGAATAATATATAATGCAATATGAAAATATATCCTAAAAGTTGTATCAAGATACGAAATGTCTTAAACAGAGGTAGAAACATGCATTATACAATCTGAAAGAATAACTTTGTATAAGTGTACAAATACTGTAAACAAATAACAAATATAATTTGAACTTGTATTAATATACAAAAATCTATGCCAATGTAAATTATCCATAAATGATAGCTCACAAGTATTCACTCTATTACCCACTATTATTATTACTGTGAATAAATTCACATTAAATTATCTATTATTGATTTTTATTCCTTTTTTTAATCTCTGAGCCTACATAGTTTCCACCCCAACCCTCTACCTTATACAAGTAATAATCAGGATAGAAAATGGAAGGAGGAGACACAATTTAGCACACACAGATATGCTCACATTAAGAGCATAATATTGTAATCATACAACAGAAGAGTGTGCAAGAGGCAATATGAGATATTTGTAAGTGCAATGGAATCACACCGGCATAACAGTGGAAATTTTTTAAGTGTAGAAAGTCCAAGTAAAAAAAAATCCTGGAATGAAAAACTGTTAGGAAAGTGTTTTTGATTGCTCCATGTTCTTCACTCAGGTAACTGGTCTTATACAAGACTTGGTGGGGCAGTTCTGACTAGTTACTCTAAACTGGAACATCCCCTCCTCTAGGGAGGAGAAGAGCTCATAAGGCCTAGGAATCTCAAAAAAAAAACTTAAAATATTCAGGAAGTTCAGGAAATTGCAAGATTCACAGGCCTCTCCCCGTATTCTGTGCTATAAGAACAATAAACGATTTCGGAAGAGAAGAGACCCCCTTCAATGCAACCGCCTGAAAGTTTTGCAATGAGTTCTGGGGATGCAACTTCCATGACTCATCACCCATGCTGAGATGAGTTTAGGTGATGCAGCTGCCCTTGGGCTTGGGACACCTATGCTTCTGTAAGGAACCCCAAGAAACCCACTGGTTCAACAAGCTGGACATGAGTAGAATTGTTTCTCATCTACCATCCATGCCCTATCTGGGATGAACAGACGTCTGTTCCTATCTCCCCAGGAAAAGCCACAGATGGAAACCCTAGACACCTTTCTGTTTCACTAGGGAAGGTGTCTTCTAAGCCTGATTCACACTCTGTGTTCTTTCCACCCACACACACTGCCTGAAACAATCACCATTCCAGTGATCACAGTTTGAAAAACTTAACTTATGTAAATGACTTTGAAATTTGTCTTGCCGTGACATAGATAAGTTCTACAGCTACAGGTGAAATCTGAATGCATTATCTGGACCTGTGTTGTGTGATCTAGTAACAACTATCCATGTGTTTCTAAATACATCTAAATCACTAAGGTTTTTTTTTGGGGGGGGGCACTGTTTGTTTGTTTGGAATTTGTTTGCTTCTTTGCTTTGGTTGGTTGGTTTTTTGATACAGGATTTCTCTGTGTAGCCCTGGCTATCCTAGAACTAGTTCTGTAGACCAGGTTCTCCAAAAGTTACAAAAATACATTGCTGATACTGCTTAATATAAATTAGCTAGCGTCTGAGCCACCGTTTATTTTCCACCAGGGAGGGGTGGAAATGTACTTATAAAACTACTTTCCACCTGCTAAATCATTTTCCTTGGCAAGTGCCCACAGTGTTGCTGACACAGCCTAGAGACCCGTTTGTGATAAGTAGCATTTTTTTGTTCCTCCTTTTCAGAAAGCAGGAGTCTTCTTCATCAACCTATTGCTGTCTAAATAAAGTGAACGATGGCAGGTGTAGGCTACGGGGCTCATTCTAGTCTTTTTTTTTTTTTTTTTTATCCTGGCAAGAGGATCTATCACCCTTCTGAAAAGACATTCAGTCCCTGAAAACCCGATTTTAACGCTTCATCAAAGCTCTAGGAAGCCTGAGGATGTTTTGGAAGTTAGCCAATTAGGTGTGTCTGCGGGGTGTCTGCTCTCCCTTTCACTCAGCTAGCCTTTCACTGTCTGGGTTCTTTCATCCTTAGCTAAACAGCAGCAGATGAGCCTGAGGCAGCAAATGGTATCTAAAAAGAACAGGCTTTGCATCTTCTGAAAGCCAAAGGGTTCACAGCGATGGTGCAGAGGGGACTCTGTGCAACTCTGGAGAGTTTATACTGAATGCTAGGAAACACCAGCCCAGGGAAAACAATGGGATGGCCACCGAATATATTTCTCCCATGAAGGAGAAAATAATATTCTCTCCATTTTATTCTCTCTCTTTTTAAATAGGCTATTTTCTCAAATCATATATCCTAATTATAGTTTTTCCTCCTTTTTCTTCCAGTACCTTCCTACCTCTCCTCCCATCCTCCCATCCAGATCCATTCCTGATCTGTCTCTCATTAGAAAACAAACTGATTTCTATGGGATAATAATAAGATATAAGATAGAACAAAAACTATCAGATTGGAGCTGAACAAGACAAACAGAAGAACCCAAAATAAGGCCTCGGTCTCCGTGATTTCACATAAACCTTGCTCATGCTTATTACAGGGCTTGCTCTCCTGGAGTCCTCCTTCCCCTCTGGCTCTTTCTGACTCCTCTTCCACTTTTCCACGGGGTTCCCTGAGCACTGAGATGAATGACCAATAGGTATGAAAGAGAAGGATACATGAAGCTAGCAATCAGAGAGAATAAATAGGAGGAGAAATCTAGACTCAATAAGAAGAAAACAGAAGAGTCTTTGTGTGGTTTTGGTATCAGAGTGACTGTAGCTTCATAAAAGGAATTTGGCAATGACTCTTCTGCTTCTATATTGTGAAATACATTAAGGAGTATAGGTATTAGGTCTTCTTGGAAGTTCTGGTAGAATTCCGCATTGAAACCATCAGGTCCTGGGCTTTTTTTGGTAGGGAGGTTTTTGATAACAGCTTCTAGTTCTTCGCGACTAACAGGTCTATTTAGGTTGTTCACCTGGTCCTGGTTTAACTTTGGTATATGGTATTTATCTAAGAACGTGTCCATTTCTTTTACATTTTCCAGTTTTGTGCCATATAGGCCTTTGTAGTAAGATCTAATGATTCTTTGAATTTCCTCTGTGTCTGTGGTTATGTCCCCCTTTTCATTTCTGATCTTATTAATTTGCATATTCACTCTCTGGCGTTTTATTAGTTTGGATAGAGGTTTATCAATCTTGTTGATTTTCTCCAGGAACCAGCTTTTTGTTTCATTGATTCTTTGGATTGTTTTCTGTTTTTCTATTTTGTTGATTTCAGCCCTCAGTTTGATTATTTCCAGTCTTCTACTCCTCCTAGGTGAGTCTGCTTCTTTTTTTCTAGAGCTTTCAGGTGGGCTGTTAAGTCTCCAATGTGTGCCTTCTCTGTTTTCTTTAAGTGGGCACTTAGTGCTATGAACTTTCCTCTTAGGACTGCTTTCATAGTGTCCCATAAGTTTGAATATGTTGTTTCTTTATTTTCATTGAATTCAAAAGAATGAGAGAGAAAGAGAAGAAGATGCCAAGGGCTAGCCAGGCAGCTGCCACCCAGCAGACACAAGAATCGGTGAAAGTAAGCTATACAGAAAGAAAGTAAGAAAGGTAAAAAGCCCCAAGTCAAAAGGTAAGTAAAGAGAACCAGGTTAACTTCAGTTAAAAGAGCTAGCCAGAAATGATTCTAAGCTGGGCCAAGTATCCATAACTAATAATAACTCTCTGTGTCATGATTTGGGAGCTAGTTGGTGGCCTAAAAGAAAAAGCCTGGTACATCTATGTGTTTGTTTCTGGCTTCATTTCTTGCTATTTGCTATAGAAAGGGACTTTTGTGTGTCCAAGATGGTAGAAAATTGGTGTGGTTTTCATGCTGGAAACCAGCTGTGAAGCAATAAAAATGGAAATTTACACAGCATAAAGAAAATGGGAACCCCAAAGACAAGGAATAGAAGGGAAATTTCACAAATATTGTACATCTAAATGCACGGTAGTAGGTTTCAAGGTTTGCAAGACTGAATACCAAATGTAAAATCACAATGTCAGAAACAAAGACCTTCATCATCTGCTCAGCAAGTAGGAGAATTTCCATTATTGACTCACTCGTGATACTATAATAAATAGTATTGAAGATCCATATAAGACAGGTCACATACAAATGAAAAAATGAGTATCCTGTATTTTTTAAGCTACTACTTAATAGACTTTCTAAAAAGTAAAGTAGAATGAGGGCATGTGTCAGGACTAACTAATAACTATATCCTTCAGTAGTTCTCCTTCGCAATAACAGCAATAGTTAATATTAAAGAGAATCAGGGACACCAAGGACTTGCTTGACAAAACCTTCATTTCCAATGTATAGCTTTTATGGATCTTCATAACTTCTAAAATCTCTGCATGTATGATCTATTTTCAAACTGTTACAATACTGAATTAAACCTATTAATAGGCCAGAATGGTTAGAGAATTAATACTGACCTTGTTGAATTTCAAAAGTCTCTGAAAGATGCTTTTCTATCTATTTCATTGAGCAAATACTTATTGTAAACCAATTATGTGTAGACAAAAGACCAACACATAGTTTCCAGTTCCAGAGAGCTTACTGTCACATGTGATAATTACGGAGCGCTGAGACAGTGATTGATCAAATTTGTGTTGCTGTCACTCAAGGAATACCTGGGCCTCGCAGCTCTGGGTCAAAAACATTTGAACGTCACTTCGCCATAGAGACTTGAAAGAGAATCTTTTCTTAACTGTGTGTGAAAGCTGAGAAAGCCACTCACCTCCCTGGTCTTCTGAATTCCTCCACTGAGACACGCAGAAATAAGAATGCTTACCTTATAGGATCGTGGGAATGAGGCGTGTTTTCCAGGTTAAAGTAATTATTCTATAAGTGAGCCTCACGGCTGATGGTTAGAAGCGGAGCTAGCGGTGCTGCCGGCTGCGGGGCTGCAGAGGAGCAGGACCATCCGAAGACTGGATGGGATTTTACCTGGATAAAAAGAGAGGGGAAAATTGTGAGATTAAAAAAGGATAGTGAGTAAAAAGAGCTTTGGAAAAGGTATTTATTCAGAAAAAAAAGAATTCATATTTTTTAAATGAGATGCTAATTTGGTCAGGGGTCAGTAGAAAAGGCAAGAAATTGGACAGGGTTATGAAGAGTTAAGCTGGAGCACTCTGTTCACTGGGTGCCAACTGGATCTCCTGTTTGTCAGAGTAAAGGAAACACTGGTGCCTAAGAACATGTCTAAGCTCACACACAAGCACAGACACTTCATTAGTGTGAGGCAAGCACAAAATCAAGTCTGCTCCATTAGGGTAGAAGAACCTGCAGGCAAGGGGAAGTATTTCTTTTGAAATAATGAAAACCTCTCCAGTCTCAACATCGACATTTCCTTTTTTTTTTTTTTTTTTTTTTTTGTTCTCAGAAATGCTGTCACTGTTGACAAGAGATAAGAGATGCAAACACACGGATATGGGAGCAGGGAAGGAGATATCTTAATTGAGGGAGCCATTTTGGGGTTGGCAAGAGGCTTCGCTATGGAGGGGTTCCCAGGAGTCCACAGGGATGATCTCAGCTAGAACCCTGGGCAGTGGAGGAGAGGGTGCCTGGAGTGGCCTTGTGGCATGCTGGACTGAGCTCCCAAGGTCCAGTTGAAGAGCAGAAGGAGGGAGAACATGAGCAAGGAAGTCAGGACCGCAAGGGGTTGGTCCACCCCCTGGAACAGTGTGCCTGATCTAATGGGAGCTCACCAAATCCAGCAGGACTGGGACTGAACTACCAAACTGACTCTGTGAATGTGGCTGACAATTAGGGCAGACTGAGAAGCCAAAGACAGTGGCACTGGGATTTGTCTCTACTGCATGTACTGGCTTTTGGGGATCCTATTCTATTTGGATGCACACCTTCCTAAGCCTGAATGGAGCGGGGAGGGCCTTGGACTTCCCACAGGGCAGGGTACCCTGCCTTCTCTTAGGACTTGTGTGGGGAGAGTGAGTGGGGGAGAAAGAGAGAAGTGGGAGGAGGGGATGGAGTGGAAATTTTGATTGGTATTATTTAAAAAAAAAATAAAAGAAAGAAATGCAAACAGGCTCTCTTCCATGTGCTGGATGGAGCTGTGTAGACAGATGGATTTGTGTGTATCCCTTTGTGCAATTAATTTCTCAAAAAGTATACAATTAATTTCAAAGCACACACTCGATGTCAAGAATCTGAAAAATGCAGGAGGCAAAGTAGACAAGGTGGAGTCATTAGGACATCTATCTGTTTTCAAAACAGATATGTCCCAAATGAGCAAGGCCAATCTGCACAAAGACACAGAGTTAAATATATTCAAGATATGAGAACTCTGAGCCATGATGAACAAGAAATCAAAACAAGTGTGAGTTTATATGGAAGAGAGGAATGGCCATGTGGCATCTTTACTTGCTGGTGACTGAACCAGGCACAGACATAGTCAGATTAAGCTTAACTTCCAGCTGTTTTAAGTGAGTTCTGTCAAAGAAAACATCCCAGGACTTTGGCAGTTGTTTCTCTTAAGACTACTTACAACAGAATCATCTATAATATTCTTGCTCGGCTTTACTGAGTTAGAGAAACATCTACAGGGCAGGACTTCACATCTGAGTGTTGACAGACTTTCTTTAATAATTTCGATGAAGAAACCCTTACTGTTATTTTATCCTTTGCTAAGAAAAAAAAAGCAATAAGTTATGAGACACAATTCTTGTCCTCAATAAGCTCCCAGGAGAGGGGAGATGAAAACCTGGGAGATGAAATGTGACACGGTATTGATTTCCTGATATAAACAAGGCGTGTGCTGAGCCCTTTCCATTTGGACCACGTCTGGGTACCATCATAACAACCTTGTAAACCAGATATTTTGAATTGAGTCTGGTTGCACTAAAGAAGATAAAAGCAATTCATTAAGGCAGGATTAATTCTGAGAGGTAAGTGATGGAAACAGTCCGGGAACAGTTTGTTCTCTCTCTCGGCAGCAGCAATGGTGAGAGAAGGTGTACTCCCAGGACTCTCCCTCCCTGGAGAAGTAGAGAGCTCATTCAGCAGGGTTTTAGGATGCTCTTAGACGTTTCATTGAAAAGGAGGGTAGTGAGAATTCACACAAGGAAATGGCGCTAAGCATTGCAGGAAGATAAGCCCAACCAAGTTTTCTGATTTCTAATTTGAGTCCCCAGATGAGAAGAGTTTTATGGGTTCACAGTTCCCTATTTGGAGAGATTTTTGGTTTCTCGTTCTCCACAAAAGGCGAGTGAAGGACCCTAACGCCGATTTTCCTCTCACGCCAGCACGTGTTGAAACTGGCTACCAAAGTGGGCTGCCAGTGCCACCACACCTACTTTATGGATAGTATCTGCGTTCAATAAAACCTCTCCCACTGTTCCAAACCTTCGTAAGGAAGGTTGTGTGTGTATACGTGGGGTGTGTGTGTGTGTGTGTGTGTGTGCAAGTATCCTAGAGTCCAACATACTTCTCTGCCTTCGGCTCCCTGTAACATATATCTAAAAGTGTTATAAACAGCCAGGAAAGTGTTTAGTAGACCAACTTAAGTCTTTCATTTTCTCTGCTCAAAAGACAATGATCTCACATTTCACTCAAGTTTGGGCCAAAGACTTTGAGAAGGCATACAAGGTCCACATAATCTGCTCGCACATTGGTCGCTGCCCCTCCACGATATCTTCCTCGTGTCATTGTCCTCAGCTTCCCAGGCCGGACTTGTCCTCAGCTTCCCATTGTCCAGCCACGACTGGCCTGACCCCTTTACATAACAAGCCGGCTTCAAAGCCAGGGCTTTGGCAGCAGCCCTTTACACTGCATGGATCCTCTGGATGTGACTATGGTTCACCTCTCCCTTCCTCTGTTTCTAGCAGTATCTCATGAGAACTTCTCAGGGGTCTTCCCTATCCACATCACTTAAAATTGTGGCCTACCCCATCACGGCCTCCTTTCTTCTGTTACTTCTCTTCCCTAGCGAGTTACTGTCTGTTCATCTCAATTTACACATCTGCAATCACAGTCATCCATAAAAAAAACCTCGCTTAAATGTTGGCAGCCCCTGGCACTCTCCACTCTCCTTTTTCTGAACTCTCCCAGGTTCGATTATACACTCCATCATGTTATTACACTTCGTACTGATGCTCGCTTGCTTTAAGTTTAAGCAACATTTTGTTTCTACCTATTATACTTCTGTTTTTCCTTGTTGTTGTTGCTTTATTGCCAATAAATCTATATATGCCCTGAAGCAAGAGCTGTTGGGTTTTATTTTTTGGTTGGTTGATTTTTTTTATTGTACTTACTGAGCTATACATTTTTGTCTACTCTCATCATTTCCTCCCCTGCTCCCTTCTACCCTGTCCTGTGACGTTCATGCTCCCAATTTACTCAGGAGATCTTGTCTTTTTCTCCTTCCTATGTAGCCCCATGTATGTCTCTCTTAAGGTCCTCTATATTGTCTGGGAGTTGGTTGATTGTTGAAGCAGGGTGTCACCATGTAGCCCTGGTTAGCCTTAAACTCCCTATGTTGATCAGGCTGGCCTTGAACTTACGAAGAGCTATCAGGTTCTGCCTGAGATTAAAGGTATATACCAACGCTCCTGGCCCAAAGCAATAGTTCTGTTGTATATTTTCCTCACTTCTAATGACAAAAAGAAAATGTTTTTGTCTCAATAAATACTTTAAGGACTGAACAATAGTAGTAATCCCCAGGAGAAGAATGATTAGCCAGGGCCAAGGCAGCAAGCCTGTAATGGCATGGTATCATCCCCATCCTGCAGATGAGATGCGGGTAGCTCACACGTGACCCAAAGTGTGTCTCCGATGAAGAGCAAGAATGAAGCAGATCCTGATAGACTCCGCAGTCCACAATCCATTCCTCTATCGTTGTCCTGATTAAGTGACTTCCATTCATTAAATGCCTACTATGGGCCCAGGTACGCTAGGAACTTCCCAGGTGAGTTCACACACAGAGCAACACTGTGGGTAAGCCGTGTCAATTTTGCTTTATAAATGAGAAAAACCACAGCTCTGGGGGTGCCAGCACTTGACTAAAGACTCACACGCAGCAATGGGAGCCGTGATTTCTCAACTCACCCACACAATTGCACTCAGTGCGTGTGTGCCGCCTGGCAGCTCAAAGCCCTGCTGAAAGAACATGCGAGGCTCTGGGGTGTCACAGCTTCTGGTCAGAGGTCACATAGTCCTTCTTCAGTGAACTTAGAGTCCAAATGCTGCTTCGTTCAGAGTCAACGCCTCCCTCGTTGCCTCTTCTCACGGACTGGTGTTAAACTTCAACACCAGGAGCTAACAGTTGACAGGTGAAGCAACTAAAGGCGTGTTTGAAAACCCCTTTGGTTATGGCAGGGTTCGTTTAATACTGGCATGCGTTTTCTTCTCTTGTTCAAATATTTGTGTGTGAAAGAGGCAAAGACTGTGAAAAAGAAGAAGATGGCTAAAGGCGTAACTCTTCCTCTATGCCTTTATTATCTATAGATTTTGAAAAAATATGGCAGCTGGAAGCGCCTCTGCTCACTGTCCCCAAGTGACATGGCTAATCTCAAAGAAGCTTTCTGAAGCCTGGTTTAAAAAAAAAAATAGTTAAGTATTCTTTGAAAATGTCATAATAAATAATAAAAAAATCATACATATACATGCATGTATATTTGTTCTTTGAAAATGTCATACATATACATGTATGAATATGATCAAATCCACTCCCCACATTCCCTACAAATCCCACCATAAGGCCACACCATAGCTCTTTCCTGGCTTCATGTCCTCTTTTTATAATTCTTTACTTGTTTTTCTTTAATACTCACTGTGTCCCATTATTGCTGCCCATATGTGCAAGGGTGTGGGATTATCCACTGCGGCCCAGAGAACCCATCAATGGAAAGTGACTGTGTTTACACGTGAGCACTCGCTGTCAGTGATTTCTTAGCACTTTGAATGGTAATTTATCTATGCCTTAGTCACTA